AAAAATTTTTTTTTTTTTTTTTTTTTTTTTTTTTTTGCAAATTTTTTTAGAATAAATTCAATAAAGCTTATACAGTTAAAAATTCGATTGAAAGTAAGAAATACAATAAAAATTTAATCGCTTTAAAATGAAACAAAGCGTCTTTTATTCTGCTTAGAGCTAAAGCTGGTTAACCTTGTTAAACTTTTGTAAAATGGTTGAAAACATAAAGTCAACGTCATAGAATTTCATTGTTGTTCCCTCCGAATAAAAATTGAAAAAAAAAGAAAACAGCAAAGTCGTATGGCAATTTAAAGCAAAAGCAACAAAAACAAATGCCAAAAGCTACATGCAATACTACACGATGCTTTGCGTTTGTTTGCATGCAATGCATGGACTCATCTTTTTGTTGTTTGCTTTTTTTTCTTGTTGTTTGCGTTTGGTAGTAGTGGTCAAATGCAAATTCAATTGGACATCGTGTGCATGCAGGCCGTGTGGCACAGGATATCCGGACGGCAGCCATTTTAGGCATATATATCGRAGTCCTTGACCACCAGCTCCAGCAGCAGCAGCAAAGCAGCCAAAAACTAAACAATAACATTTTTTCAAGCCGATAGCAAACACACACTTACGGCACTCTCTGACCCACGTACACTCTGTGCTATACATATATATACATAGGTATATATGTAGGTATGTTTTTTGATTTTTGTTTTCTTCGACTGCCAATAAATCAGAAATTGAGCCCAGCCTCCCATTGGCTGCGGCCGCCTGTCTCTTGCTCTTTGTCTTTGGCTCGTATATTATGAGCTCATATTAAAACATTTTACACACAATTTCGTTGCAGTTGGTTGGTGGCCTGACCGCCTGCCTGCCTGGCAGCTAGGTTGCTTGACTGCCTGCCTGCCTGCCTGGGCCAGGCATGAATTATTATGCACCTAGGCGTATACGCAATGTTTAATTTTCAACTCGAGCGGCAGCGCGCWGCACACACATAAATTCTAGGGCCGCCGACAAACGACTTGTTCAATTTCTCTATATTTTTGCCGGGCACTGCCTAAACTGAGCCCCAGCCCGCCCCTCATCAAGGTTGCAGCAAGAAAATATGTCCGAGCTGGCTAAGGATCCTTTTTTCGCTCGCTCTCTCCCTGCTGGCTCCAAGCTGAACTGATGCAGGCCAGCCACGTACACATGTCGGGAGCTAACTGCAGGCAGCCACGTTGCCCATTGCCCATTGCCCATTGCCCATTGCCCATTGCCTATTGCCCAGTGGCATTGTTGCTCCTCTGCTGGTCGTTGGCATCATCATCATCATCATCAACAGCGACGCAGCAGCAAAAATTTCAGCCATTTGTCCTGGATGCTTGCGGCATAAAAATATGCCAGGGCCAGC